GCCCCCGCCCGTCAGGGCGCTACCCCCACCACTAGTTGAGGCTCCCGCACGAACGAACGAATCGGCACCCATTTTCGAACTAACCAAAACCTTGATTAGTTTGATCCAGGAAAGCAAAAAGGAGCAGCGAGAGCACAATGCTCGGCTGGAAGCCATGATGAGGAACATGTGGCCCATTGTGGTACGCGCCTCTCCGATGCAGCAAGGATTAGCCCCGGCACCTGCACTCGGAGAAGTCGCAAATAATCTGAATGTCTGTTATGCCTGTCATCAACCAGGACATCTAGCCCGTGATTGCCCCCACCGACCCCCACAACAGCGGATCGGGGTCGCACCTATGGCTGCGGCTCCCATCGCCAACGGACCTGGACGAGTCGGCGCTTTGATGGAAGAGGTGGAGGGTGGGGGAAGTGCCCTGGCCACCACGGAAGAGGCCGCTGAGCTAATTCTGCTAGATCAGTATGTGTTGCTGGGATGTCCTGGGCTTAGAATGATCGGAACAATCAGACCAGCGCCAGAACCAAAAGAGGTGGCGGAGTGGCGACCGTTTGTAGGGGAAATGGAGTCGGGAGGACCCACCTTCGTCACAGGAGAGATCGATGTATTAAACATCATCCGAGCCTTGGACCATCGGATTCCCCTTCCGATCGGTCACCTACTCTCGATCTCCGAGCAAGCCAACGAGCGAATGCTATAGCATTGCAAGGCAAACCGAAAGCGATTCGTCCTCGCCCGAACACCGAATGCAAAAGCCAAAGGCCCCGCGCCAGAAGAAAACCCAACAGGCACTCCGGATCCAATACGGGTAGGTTTAATTCAGAAAGACAATCATTTCTTTCGGATTAAACCAATTCCGTGGAAATCCGCAGAATGTGATATTGAAATTTGGTGAATTCCTTACAACGCAATTATAGACTCGGGAGCAGCTGTGTTGGCTATTTCACTAAGAGTGGTCGAAAGGGCAGGTAGGAAAAACGACCTGATCATGCTTTCTGAGAAAGATCAGCTCGTTTCGGCTGACGAAGAAAGGATTAAAACCGTGGGAAGAATTACCAATGTCGCTTTCCGATTGGGTAAAGTGCACGCGCTTGGGGATGTCGTAGTACTGGATGTCAATACGTACGACGTTCTTTTCGGACTTCCCGCTCTTGTGGCGTTACGAGCAAACCTGAACTTCGAACGACGATCGATCGTCCTCCGAAATACAGGGGGAAAACCCTACGCTGTGCCCATGTCATTGACCCTTCGCACTACTATTAACGCGGTTCCGCGGGTTTCGCCGATGATGGCAGGGACTCTCCGCATGATCTCCTGGGATGAATCCGCAGACGGAAAGTCATCAACGAGTGATGCGAACAGCAGTGACGAAGATGATCCGGAGATCTTGAAATTAGCACGACAGCGCGTTTACTACCCGCCGCCCAAAACGATAGCGAGAACGATGCAACTGACCAGCTGAAAAATTCAAAGAACCAAGGCAATGATCTTGGGAGAGCCCCTCGTGCAGATTTCGAGGATGGTCAATTCTTTGGAACCCCCTCAAACTCTGTACGAAGGAATCACCCCTCTCCTCGCCCGGTACAGCGACAAGAAGCATGACTGTGACATTACAGATCTACCCAAGTCCTTACTAACATCGGCTAAAGAAGTGAGATTGTTACGCTTGGGGGCGGAAGCAAGCTCTCTGGAACCCCCTAGGCGTTTCGAAGCAGAAACAAACGGACTGGGGATAAAGATCGCAACCAAGGAAGTGCCATGGCGAGATGTTTGTGATGGGATTACCCCGGAAGGACACATGGCCATCGGGAAGAAGATGCCCAGATGATGGCCACCGTGTTCTCCTGGCGATCGGACCATTCGTTCATCTCGGCGCCTCCATCCGACTTGGCAAAACAGGCGAGCACGAAGCAGATTGACGTTCGGATCTGGGACCAACTTTTCGAACGGCACGTCCCACAGTACGTGCCGGATGAAATCCACTGGGTAAATTGCGGATATTCTAACGGAATATCAAGGAGCGATTAGTGTGTCAGACACTGACATTGGGTTGTCGTTAGTAATCCAACATGAAATTCAGACAGAAAATCACTCCCCGATTCATTGCAAACCTTATTGGTATTCCTTGATTGAACGCAAAAAGGCTCTCGAACGAATTCGGGAGTTGGAAGCCAGCGGCTAGATTGAACCCGCTACCAGACCTTGGTCCTTTCCCGTAGTGTTAGTACCGAAGAAAAACGGGGTGATTTGCATTTGCATTGATTATCGCAAGCTGAATGAAATCACGATCAAAGATGTGTATCCCCTCCCCCGGATTGATGATTTGCTGGATGCGATTGGATGCACTAATTATTTCAGCAAGTTTGATATTCGGCATGGCTTCCATCATATTCTGGTAAGGGAAGAAGATCGGCCGAAGACGGCCTTTGTACTATTTGAGGGCACGTGGCAGTGGGTTCGGTGTCCGATCGGGATTTGCAATGCGCCTGCCACGTTTCAGCGAGCGATGAACATGACGTTCCAGAATTTCGTCAACAAGACACGACTGACGCAAGGGATGATTAACTTCTACGTGATCGTGTACATGGACGATATCATAGTCTCTATTCGGAAACCTATCACGGGCACGCTCAACATATCGAATGGGGATTGGGCGCGTTGCGAGACGCTGGGTTCAAGATTGCGCTTGAGAAGAGCGGATTTTTCCTCTCGGAAATTTCGTTCTTGGGCTACGTCGTGACACGTGGAGGATTGCGGCCGGACTCGAGAAAAGTTGCGGCGGTGAAGGAAGCCCCGGTTCCCATGTCACTGACGCAGGTTCGAGCCTTCTTGGGGCTGGCGTCGTACTACCGACGCTTCATCAAGGGTTTTGCCACGATTGCACGACCACTAACGAATATGTTACGAAAGGACCAGCCTCTCAGTTGGGACGCGGAGTGCCAACAGGCCTTTGCAACCCTCAAAGACGCTCTGGCGACGGCCCCTATTTTGATTCGGCCAGACCCCTCGAAGCAGTTCATTCTCATCACAGACTGGCAACCGGAAGCTGTTTCCACTATTCTAGCGCAGAAGGGGAACGGTGGTCGAGAACACGTCATCGAGTACGCGTCATGCACCGTACCGGACGAACGAAGGAACGACTCCGCACCTCAACGCGAGTGCTATGCGGTAGTTTGGGGAATCCAACACTTCCATCTGTTATCCCTACGGACAGAAGTTTCACCTCGTGACGGATCACGAGCCTCTGCTAGCATTGAAGAAGCTCACCAACTACACGGGCATGATTGGCCGTTGGGCGGTGCGACTGCAAGAGTACGACTTCGATATCGTCCACCGGAAGACAGAGCGACACGGCAACGCCGACGGACTGACACGTCTGCATCGACCTGCCAAGGTACCGAAGGGCGAGGAAATTACACCGTGGAAAGAGCCGGACTTGACCAACGAGCCGAAATACAGACAAGTGGCGGTTCTTCCACGTGGCAAGAAGCAAAACGGTGGCGATGGGTGATGGAGGTAACCCCACTACCCCTCTCTCTCCCCCTTCCTCCTCGTCTCTCCTCTCCCTACCTGACAAATTTTGCTATTTTTGCGAAGCTATGTCCCGCGTATATTCGGTCTCCATGCGTCCTAATGGGGAAGGGTATGCGGATTGGATAAATTGCCAACAGTGTGTCGTGCGAGCCCATGGCTCGTGCATCCAATACAGGAACGATAGAAAACCGTGGTTGTGCCCCTTGTGCCGGACTGACAAGATTCCGRCCGAGGCTCGCTTTTTGGATGCCACGTCAGAAGGGTTGGAAAAGACCCAGAAGTTTAGAAGGGCCGAAGTATGGACTGATATTGCCTTAATTGCCACCCTAGTAGGTAACCCCCTCCAGGATTTCACCAAGGCAGATCGGAGGAGGGCCAACGAAAGGGCTCGGGATTATCGGTGGATAGAAGGTAGATTAGAAAAACGGAAAACGGACGGCAGTGGGATTTGGATGGTGGTACCGCATCCGTTCATGCGGTATGACTGGGTTGAGACAGCCCACGAGGAAAATGCGGCCTATTTTGCCGTACGAATCACGGAGTCTGCCATCGACAAAAATGAGTGGTACTGGTCCAATATCCGCGACGATGTGAAATACATTGTCGCCAACTGTCAAGCATGCGCCGCTGATAAAGCGCCGATTCAGCCACCAAGATTGATAGTGCCCACGGTTGTCGAACGACCATTTCAAAGAGTGAGCATGGACACTACCGACGTAGTGGTGCCCCCTGGCCCTAATAGTTGCGAGTATTCAGTCTTATTGGTATTTGTCGACCATGTCTCGAAATGGATCGAAGCGTATCCTTGTCGCACGTGGCAAGCCACGGAGATCGCGCGATATGTCAACCGTTTCCTCAAGATGCATCAGGATACGGAAGAGATCCTAACCGACAACGGGGCTGAATTCAGGGGAGAAGTGTTAAAGAATCTGGTCATACATGGCGTCGCCATACGGAACACTGCACCCCACATGTCACAATCCAATGGGCTGGTCGAAAACGCTAACCGGGAGATAAAGACAGCATTGCGACGAAACATCACGGCACGGGATCCGAGACCCTGGCCCGATATCGTCAATCACATCCTGGCGGTCCATCGCGGAACGCCTCACGAATCGACAGGGCTAAGCCCCTTCCAATTAAGGACCAATAGCGCCGCTTGCGTTTCAATACCAAGCCTCCCAAGCGAGTCTACGTTGAACCGACGACCCACCAGGGCCACGGCTAGGGACAAGGCCAAACGACACCTAGAGCTAATGGAATGGTCACTGCCCAGGCTAGCCCGAAAACGATAGAAAATGACTGAACTAGCCCAAGGCCGGCAACTCCGGAGCTACGAGGCCCAAAATGGGAATGCGGGTTGGGGGACGTGGTGCAGGTGAGGAATGCGCTCGCCAGGGTAAGCTAGCGCCACGATTCTTCGGGCGATATCGCGTGATCGAGCTCGGCCCCAACGACGTGGACACCGTGCATCTCGCCCCTGAAGTCTCTGGCAGCCGATCGGCTCGTCCGATCACACGCCACGTGTCCTATCTTCGCCTCCTCCCCTCTGCTCCGTCTCCCTCTCCCTCGATCTTTCTTTCTGAGGAAGCCGACGACGACCGCTTTGACTCTCCGCCATCTCCCTCTTCCTCTTGCTCCCTCTCTGCCACCCCGTCACCCCCGCCATCGCCATGAGCTTCGTTATCGAGCGAGCTTTCAGTGACCAGTTGCTGATGCCACGGGGAGAGATTTCAGCCATCTGCCAAGTGCATCATCCGCGGATCAGCCCCGATTTCATGCGCCTTGCGCAGTTCTTCTGCACTACGGATGTATACGGCGCGGTAGAATTCCGATTCACGAGCAATCCCCAGGCGGTGGTGCTAGCCGAGGCAACGACGCTCCAACGGCAAGCGGCCCCGATAATCAGCCACGTGTCTACCATGGTAGTCTTCAGCGGCAACATCACCGCCTTCGATCCGGCGCGGCAAGCCGCCATCAAAAGCACCTTGTACCGGTGGGGTCACGATCTGGCCACTGATTGGGATCGACAGCTCACAAGGCACGGTGACGAGTGCTATCCTGTTGACGACATCGAAGTCAACACGTTGCGCACGACGCTGCGCGAGCCACCTGTCATCCTCCCAGAACTTGCTCCCTTCCAACCGCGCAGATGAGCCGTGCGCCGATCTCTACGTTCTCTCCTCCGTCTCTCTTCCCCATCGTCTGGCAGTCCTCTCACTACCCTCGTCTCTCCTTCCGCCTGGGACCGCTGACAGTACCCATCGTTGATCCGGACCGTTGGAGGCTGTGGCGTGCAAAATTCATTGAGCTCTCGTTCTGCCTGCTACGAGTGGATCTGAACTGGACGTGGGAAGGCGATCAAAGGCCCGCGTCAGAGACTGTGGAGTTGCTCGTCATTCAGGCGTGGAGGACCAACGTGGCGGGGGACCTTCTGGGATTCGTCTTACGAGCAGTGGATCGGGGAAACCGATCACAGATCGTGCGCAAACTTACGATCGTGATCGTGCGACTGGCAGACGAGCTCCCCCTTGACATCGTCTCTCAGAGCGACGAAGAACCCGTGCCACATACCCTCTCGAGGACCCTCGCCCCAAGCCTCCAGTGGTCGGCCTGTATCGAGGAGCGTTGGGCGGACGACCGTTTTCCCTCCCATAGCGAGTACCTAGACGTCCACAGCCTGACTAATCCCCGCTTCTTTCGGCAACCAACGACGTTCGAGTGGGCGGCGCAGAGAGCAGAAGAGGAGGCCGAAGAGGAATCGGAAGGAGAATTGAGGAGAGGGGTCGAGGAAGCAGTGGCCCGATTGGCCGAGGACGAGGAAGAAGAGCGCGAAGCTGAAGAAGAAGAAGAAGAAGAAGAAGAAGAAGAAGAAGCAGAGGAGGAGACCTCGGAGGAAGAGGAAGAAGCCTATAGTGAGTACAGCGAGGGCGAGCAAAGTGAGGAGGAGGACGAATACGACGAAGAAGTGGAAAGCGGAGACGACCAGGCGCCAACGCACGACGACGAGCTCGAGTGGGTGCCAGGTCCGGATCGACGAGAGGACAACCCTGAGGCTGCTGCGCAGCGCAAGAAACAGATCGCGGAAGGTAAGCAGCTGGCGATCGATCCCGCACCGAACGATCCCTTCAAGGATCCCGAGCCGCCCAAGCCGGAACATGGAGACCTTGCTGCCACGACCTCGAGAGCCGCGACGACAAGGCGCCAACCCCGATCCCGATCCTCGTCCCCCTCCGCCTCCGGCCGTCCCCCAATTCGTCAACGTGTCAATGAGGGGTTTAGCCCTTCGTCCCCGATCCATATACCACCATCCCCTTAGCTATCTCTCTTTCAATCAGTATTTCCATCGCGTCGTCTACCCCCATAATCCCTTCCCCATCGCCACCTTCCGACATTTCTACTCCGCCCGCCTAGAACTGACTGTCCACCCTCACCCTTCCTTTCGGTGTGCTGTCCCCGATTGCCCCCTCCACGTTCTACTCCTTAGCGCCGCGTGGCGAGGCCGTAACCATATAGAGGTTTACTGCATTGTTACGGGGACCTTCCCCGCGTGCAAGAACCATGATCGGTTCCACACAGACGTCCTCCGAACCCTCGTATCCCTTTACCCAAACTACCTCGCTTCCCTTCCCCGTAGCGGCCAAAGATTCCCCCGCTTCCATCGCATTGTCCGTTTTCAAGAACTTCCCTACGACCTCACCGCGATCGGGCACTTCATACCCGAGCTTACGATGGAGCCGCCCCGCCCTCCCTCATATGCGTATCGCCTTCCCTTCCCCCTTCCGATTAATTACTGATGCAGCGCTAGTGGACGCGTGTCGCGGTGACGCCACGAGAAAGATCCCATCCTTGGATCGTCGAGAGCCCAGTCTGAGGAACTAGTAGAAGAGCAAAGCTGCCACGTTGGATGACGTCCACACTCAATCGAACGGTAAGTGGCATACAGAGAAGTGCTCCGCGTGTCGATCGATTAGAGAAAATCGACATGTGTCAACAAGCAAGCGGGAGCTTGCTAATATTGAAACCCCCTGGGCGTCACATATGTGACGAACCACTTTCTGTAACGCGCGATTTTCTGTCCAGTTGCAACGAGGGGTCTTAAGCTGGGAAGACTGGGCCAATTACGGGAGATCGGGATCGGTGGAGAATTGCATCAGTGTCCTCGCTTTTTCGTCCTTTTCGTCGCTTCTTTTTTTTCGAATGGCTGGGCACGGAGCTGGGTGTGTCTTGGGATGGCCGGCTGATTGATTGGTCGGATGGATGTCTGGCGCGTTGCCGCGCGCATGCGCGATTAATAAATGTTGACGTCGTTTCCTTCGGTTCGTTTTCGATCTTTTGGGCGCGGACATCGCGCAGAAAATTGCTTCGTTCTTTTTCCTTTTAAATCTTTTTCGAATTTTGTTGAGCCCCCGATGGCTCTAACAATTTCGGACTTTCTTTCTGGAAACTGTGCTTTTTTTTGCTTTTTCACATTAGATAGGAATTTAGGAACTCAGTACTTAGGATTTTTTTCTGCCGCACGGCGCCTTTTGTCTACGCGCTTCTTCATGCGGCCGCAACGATACTTTGATGAGTGGGCGCCCTTAATCGTGTGTGTAACTGTAATTTTAGGCGGGCGCCATTGTAACTGTATTTTTCTTCTTGCACTGCGTCTCTCCCGCCCTCCCTCTCTTTCTTTTGCTGAAATTTTTGTAAGTCGCGGCTTGCATGCTCGGATCGATGCGTGGAGAAGGGTTACGTCCCCCACGCCGTGGCCGATCATGCAGAACGCAGACACTCCCTCGCTAATCCCCACTCTAAGTCCTGGTAATTCCGTGTTCTTCGCGCAAGCATGCACGCTATAAATTTCGGCTGCGCGATCAATCAATCTCCTAACCTGTTGTTGGAAGCTCGGGGTTGCGCGATCAGGAAGGGTCGGCACACGAGCGAAGTAAGAGGTGAGTAGAGTAGGAGTTGGGCGAGACATCTGGCCTTGGATTTTTGCTCACACTTGTCCTTGCGATGTCTGTCCTGATTGCATTGTGTGTATGATTGTCGAATGTATGGATGTATGGATGTTATGCCTGCTTGTCTATCTTTGTGCTGAGAATCCTTGTCCTTGCTTTATGTTTGTGTCGAATCTTTGCCCACACCTAATGCCGCTGTAGAGGGGATAAGAATCTGGCCCCGATAGCGATTTTATTCTCGCTTTTGCTTGTCTCACGATGGGGTTGTGATATGGTTGCATCTTGCATAATCCGAAGCAATTAGACGATCCGAAGTCTGGCCCTGCGAACGCCGCGCGAGAACACGTGTAAACGTGATCTGAGTCGCTCCCTTACACGCATTCTCGTACGTCGATTCGCCCACCCAAAAAGGTTCGCGGCGGAACCATCATCCCGTACGAGCACGCCGAGGCGCCACTGAGCCTGCCTGTCCTGCACGTGCTTGTGCGCGGTGATGATAACCCAACCCGAGCCATTCCATCGACGATGATACCATGACGCGATCTTGGAGCTCAGACTCATCCTACGACCCGGATTACTTCACCCCTTGGATAAACGAGCTCATAAGGACGCGATACCCCTGTCACACGGAGAATCGACTATGTCCGCGGGAATTCCACTGCGCCACCTCTAGCGACCCTCGGTGCTCTGATTTCCCTTCCCCCGACCACACCTACTACTTCACCCACCCGGGATTTGTCGTCATCACCACCAGTTTCCCTCCTTTTTGCCTTCTGCTCCCGTATCACCAGCTCAGTGTCGTTCTGTGGCCGGCCATAGCCCCCTTTTGGCCCAATACGTCTTGTGTGAATTGCCGACGTAGCGGCGAACAGAGAACTCCGGAATTCCGAAGGCCCAATCCAAGTACGCGGCGGCCTGCTCCACGTGGCAGCCCCCGACGGCCTGACTGTTCAGGTCTGCCTCCACCACGGAGGGATTTCCCCGTAAACCGTCGCCCACAATGTCCGGGCCCCATCGGGCCTTGGGTCCCTTGCACACGCATCCCTCATTCGCTTAATTGCATTCATACCCTTAAGACTCCCCCACTTTTCCCAAAAATCCTTGGCACACCCCTTTTCGCACTTCTTGGCCTACACCCCACTCCGATCAGGAAGTCGCGCTGGGCGTGAGGTTGGGCGTCACAGCGCGACTTCGTGGTCGGAGTGATGGAGGGCCTGGAAGTGCGAAAAAAGGGGTGTGACAAGGATTTTAGGAAGATGGGGGTGGAGTCCCAGCCTGGTCGGAACTGAGATCTCCGGTGTCAAGTTTCGGGGATATGAATGTAAGCGAGTGAGCGAAGGACGGGGTTCCGTTTTAGGCCTCGGGGAACGGGGCGGTCACCTCCATCGGTCCCTTCGTCTGGGGCGGATTCGTATTCTGTGTACCGCCAAGACACTATGGCTGTTCCGCTGGTACAACACCCGTCATCGGCGGGTGTTGCGGATCTCAGAATCGGACGTGGCCGACCTTAACCGAAGGCTGTGCTCCTGTTGTTCGGCTTCCGAGCGGGTTCACCAGATGAATCCCGATGCTCGAAGGCGTGGTCTCGCAGGCACTCGGAACACTGGGGTGTGACGCCCAACCTCACGCCCGGCGCAACTTCCTGATCGGCGTGGGATGGGGGCCTGGAAGTGCGAAAAGGGGTATGCCAAGGATTTTAGGAAAGGGGGGGGGAAGTCCCACGTCGGAACTGAGATCTCCTGTGGCAAGTTTCAGGGGTATAGGCGCAAAGAGGGTGTAGTACTCAGAAGGGAGGCTGCTGATGTCGTGCAGCATAAGGCGGATGGCATGCACAGTGCATCTCAGGCTAAAGATCCCGGACACTTTTCCGCTATCGCTGTGCCGATAGATCTAAACACTCTTGCATTCTCGAACAAAATCCCAACAACATTGCCCCTGTCAACGAATTCAACTTTTAAGCCCGAAAAGAAATGGGAATCACCATCTCCTCTGATTTTGCCTTCATGGTCGGTTGTGCGGCTCGATCAGTCGTCGGCGCCCCTCGGCTTCGGTTCGGGCTTGCCGACCGAATTCCAAGGCTCGATAGGCCTGGTGTCGCCGACACTTTTCGCACGGTCTGCGGGGCCAATAGCGGGCTATGGAATTCCACGGTACCACCGTGAGTTGGTGATATGGAAGGAGGAGGTGGCAGTGAGGGAAACTGGTAGTAATAACGACGAAACCGGGGGATATGAAATACTGAGTTGTAAGTATCCGGGTAATCGGGACCCCTAGGATCGTTAGTTATGGCACAGTGAACGTCCCTCGCACACAATCGATCGCTTTCTGTCAGACAGGGGAATTCCGGGTTTCTTAAGTTCCCCCGCCGTCTGAGTTGTTTACCTTGAAGTTCCCAGTATTCGTGGTATTCCGGGTCCCTCATGCTCTCACGATCAGACATCCAAGCCATATCCGTTCAGAAATTTTTGTCCCCTGCATCCTCATACGGAGTTCCAGGCTAACTCATGCGGGCGACCGTGTACGTAGCGACTCGATTTCTTCGAGATTGCGGTCGTACTCGAGCGTGCATGTGGGAAACAACGGGAAGGTTCAGCGGGCCGATCGTGTTCAACATGCATGCATATATCCTATCCCTGCGGCATCGAGTGAGATCCGATCATCACATATCATACATGTGACCAAACGAGGGGAGAGGAAGGGGGGGGAAGAAGAAGAAGAAGATAAAGGATCATCAACTTCTTATAGCACTTGTGTTGATCGAAAGTTAACGAATAAACCAAAACATCCATGATTGAGTGTATGGCTCACGCAAATGAGCAGTAGATAGAGTCAAAACGGACATCGCAAAACAAGAAAAATCCGAGACGATTTACAAAAGAAGTCCAAAAAGAAGGCCGTGATAAAAATCGACCATATCCGGATCCAAAATTACACAGACGGACAGAAGAAAAGAAAGGAACAATGAAAAGAACCTTATCCCGCACCCACACAATTGTTCTCTCTCTCTCTCTCTCTCTCTCTCTCTCTCTCTCTCTCTCTCTCTCTCTCTCTCTCTCTCTCTC